TTGGGAGGAGATTCCTACTGTCCTACTCATGCTGTCTTGGCTCCACTTCCCTGAATAAATCATTTTAATTGCTTCTTATTACCCACTGGAAAAAGTCTAAGTTCTATAAAATGGCTTATAATTGGATGGCTAAAATTTCTTGTGTGTATAAGGCCATCCCACTTTTCCCAGGACATTCCCAGTTTATATACTTTGTCTTGGTTCACTTATTAAGAGCAATTTGACTCTCAGGAGTATTTTAGTTTAGAAGATAAAGTACGCAGTCACTTACAGTTTTCTTTTTTAAAGATTCCTTCTTACTTTTCGAGTCCCACATTTTACCGTCGCTTCAATCACTCTCCTAAATACCAATCACGCTAAATTCTTTTCAATCTGTGCAAATGGCTTTTGTTTACCAATGGTACCAATGGATCTGAAACATTAAATTTCTCCTGACAGGCTCTACTCCCTGGCCCCTGACTTTGTCTGTGCAACTACTCCTAATCCTCTGTATCTGTTTCAGTATCACTTCATCCATGGCTCTGCTTGGACTTTGTTAGGTACTCCTGTTTGTCATTGATATAACATTAATTTTTCTTCTATAGTATTTGTACTCTTTTTTTTCATCTAATCAACAATTACTTACTGAGTATCTAATATATTCCAGGAACTTTTATTAATATTTGTATAAATTAGTCATCAGAGATACCTAGCTCACAGAGCTTACATTCTGTTGTGCCAAAGACTGGCAATAAATGATACATAGAAAAATAAGTAAATAGTATGATAAAATGTGATAAATAGCAAGAAAAAAGAGATGAAAACAGAGCCAGTAAAGGGCCTTTGAATTCTGGAAAGATGGGATTTTTAAAGGAGGTGGTTACTAGGCCGTATTGAAAAGGAGACATTTGAGAAAATACTTGAATTAGCCCTGTGGACACCTGGAAGAAGCACGGTCTTGACAGAGGTAGTAGCTGTTACAAAGGCCCTGGAGTGAAAGCTCCAGGAACAGTCAGAAGGTCCCTGTGTCTCAGACACAGAGAGTGATGTTGAGAGTATGAGAGATGAGGTAAAAGGGGTACAAAGGCAGATCATGGGGTTGTTAAGTCAATGTAAGGGTTATAGCTTTTGCCCTGAGTGAAATGGGAGTCATTACAAGGTTTTAAGCACAGCAATAGTAGGCATCACCTGTGCTGACCTATGTTATAATCACTTTGGCTGCTGTTGAGAATAAACGGTTTGGGGCAAGGATCAGAGTATAGTTGACCCTTGAACAATGTGGGAGTTAGGGGTACCAACCCCCTGTGCAGTAAAAGCAATATGTGACTTTCAACCCTCTAAAAACTTAATTACTAATAGCTTATTGTTGACCAGAAGTCTTACCAATAATATAAATTGTTGGTTAACATATTTTATATGCTATATCTATATATATGTACTGTATAAGTCTTACAATAAAGTAGGCTAGGGAAAGGGAAATGTTTTTTTTAATTGTTGCAAATCTCTAAAAAGTTTTCCAATATATTTGTTGAGAAAGAATCTGCATATAAATGGATTCACACATTTCAAACCTGTGCTGTTTAAGGGTCAACCATATCCAAAATAGGGGAGAAGGATATAAGAGAAATCCACAAAACTGAAGTGGTAAGGAGAATATTTGGGATGTCCTTTGAAGGTGGAGTATACAGGATTTGCTAACGAATTGGAAGTGAACTGTGAGTAAAAAAGAAGTGTGAAAAACTCCAAGGTTTTTGGTTTAAGCAACAGGAAAAAGGAAATGGCCATCCACTGAGATAGGGAAGGCTGTGAGGAGTTCACATTTTGTGGAGCCAGGGAGACGAAGAGTTCATTTTGGGACATGCCAAGTTTCATTGTTTGTTGGACACTGAAAGGAAGATCTCAAACAAGAAGTTAGATATAAGAGTATGAGGTAAGGAGAAAAGTATACACTGAAAAAGTGCACTGGGATTCCTGAGTTCGTGTATTGTATCTAAAACTGTGATACTGAACAAAATTATCAAGGAAATGAGT